TTGAAATGTATTAAAAAATATAATTTTTTTTATATTAATCGGTAATCCATGTCATTATAATTTCAGCTCAGGGTTCCTATCGTGACGAGCTGTTAGAAGCGCTGACCAGCCGTAATCCAATTAATATCACTCACTCTGACAAATTCGACTTGATAAGACCGCTACAGTCTAGACTTGATGGTTTTCAAACATTACCGACAACCAATACTACCAACACCGAATACATCGTCAACCAGCACGGACGCCAAAGGTAAATTAATTATGTTTTATGCATGTTGTTATGGCACTTTGGATTTCTGACTTCGATACATTAATTAAAATCTGAAATAGAGTTGAATGATATTTCTATTGTTATTTATCGTTGTTGTAATATTTCAATTTATTATAAGAAACAGTCAAAAAACCACTGCATCAAGAATTTAATTTCTTGTATCCTCTTGTAACCTAGCTATTCAATTGAATTTTTATCATAACATCATAAATTTTTTTAACAATAATTAGTTTTTCATTATTAAATTTAACAATACAATTTTAGTGTTGAAAAACAAAAATATGTAAATTTAGTTTAAAATTAAAAATAATTTTTTTTGAAAACTATGACAGAATTAACAGTAGGGCAGAACATTTTCCTATCTAAACCATTGTATTGAAAAAAATTATACTTTATTAAATATTTTTATTTGTAAAAAACACCATTAATAGAATAAAACCAAAATGCGATATAATTATAGGAATAGAAAGGTTATTAGGTACTGTTAAATACATTTGGTTAGGTTATTCGATAAAAAAAAATCATTAGCAGTTATTTTACGTTAAACCTAAAACGGATAAAAATTGCCGTGTATTACATACAGTTGCCGCCGCGGCGAACGAATTGATGGAGCCACGGGCAGTATTAAAAGCTATCATAACTAATGAAAGAAAACTCACTAACGAATTTTAATGGTATTATTTTCCTAGTTAGACTTTATATTATTTATTATGGTGATAAAATAATAATTGAATTTTTGAGTCTGATGGTCCTTTAAGTACCTACATGAGTTTGTCGGTCTATTCATATTTTATTTTTAATAATTATATAAATAAAATCATTTAGAACGACAAAAAACAAAATAACAGGAAACTTAAAAATGTTTTATTTGCTTAACATTAAAAATAAAACAATGCAAATGTATAAAATATTTTGGTAATAGAATAATTCATATTAACATTATTAAAATTTAGTTCAATGTAAATAATAAGACATCTATGTGAAAAAATGTTGTTGAAGTACTTAGTACTTTGTACCATAATATGTCAATGGGTACAATAAAATACAATTTGATCGTAATTAAAAATGTAATGATATTGATATTTAGAAAGTAAATAATGATAACTATTGAAAGTAAAGTAAAAATACCTAGGTGTTCAATTAATTTATATTTGATTTTTTCTGATGCATAATTCAATGTCATGATACTAATAAATTATACAAAATTATAGTATTTGTAAAGGTAAACAATAATCTTATTTTATATTAAAACATATTTTTTTTAAAAACCCACTAAAATATGTACAAATTACAAAGTATTTTGACAAGATCATTCTACAGGAATGTACTATTTACATTAAAGTAACCTTTATCATAAATCATAATGATATGAATTACCGTTCTACCAGTATATTCATATATTTACATTGTTACATTTGGAATGTTAAAATAATAATCTGATTAAACATTAAAATTAGATTATTAAAAATATCATCCATAGTAAGTAAATAAAACAAGTACAAACTACAAAGTACTGCGATAATCGTTTAGTATATAATTATAGAATTTAATAAATCTTATAGGTTGAAGGGCATAGTTAATGGTAATTGGTGTAAAGTAATACTGGGAAAATAATGATTACGTTCATATTTCCGGTAACTATGTGAATAAAAATATTTTTTATTGTTTATATGAATAGGGAGCAACAACAGGTCTTGGTTAAGACAAGAAGTGAAGATGGTAGATCTAATTCAGTCGAGTCACGTATCAGTACCAGTTCACCACTGAATATGAATATAGATGACAAAAACCTCATCAACATCAAAAAAAGTGTAAAATATTGGATACGTCAACTCTTACAAAATGAGTTTATGAATCGAGTCCAAAAATCAACCATGAGAAACAGACGTCGACGCTCGGCACCTGATGCAAAAATATCATCAAATAAAAAAATTATTTCAGTGCTAGCAGGCCCGGAGGTTACCAATCATGACCGTGATATGAGTGCTCTTCGATGCTTATTATCTTTTGCGTTCCCAGTAACCCTTCCATTGCAATGTATACGAAATATTTTGTAATAATACTAAAAGGGTCTTGTATATTTTTATAACTTATAATACTTGAAATATTTTTAATTTTTACTGTTAACAATATTCAATGCTTATGTCTCTTTGTATAAACCATTTGCGTAGTCTTTTACTCTCGCTTGTGATCGTCTATACAAAGAGACATAAGGACACTGTGTACACACCTAACCGTCGATGACCGGCCTTTTTTTAAATTAATATACTATGTGTGCGTGTGTGTGTTTTATCTATTGTTCTTATGATCTGACTATAGATCATTTTATTATATTGTAATTAAATATTTAATTTTTGTCTTACATGATTATATTAATAGATGACTTATAGCTAAGGATTATAATTGTTTATTTTATTATATAAATATTTAATTATGATTGCTGGAAGCTCATCATTACAATTTTATAATTTTTATTGAATTTAAGTTACCTTACAAAATCAATAAGACAGTACTTAATACTTATAAATAATATTATTACTTTAAAAATTCAATAGTCTTGTGTATTGTATTCATCTAATAATAAATTTGTAAAAATGCCTAGTTATATCAGAAATAAGTTCTATCGTGAACTGATCAATATAAAATATTTAATACATTTAAAAATATAAATGATATTAAACACATTACATCCAAATCATCTATTTCTCCACATGTATATTGCAAACAAAAATATTTTAGATTGATGTTAAAGAAGGTAACTTGTTATCATTTAAATACATTAAAACATTAATTTTCCATATCCATATTGGCTAAGCAAATAGTGCTAGTAATAAACAACCATATAGTACAGCAGGAAGAGTTGGTTGATAAGCAAAGCAGTTTTCTTAGTTGCTCTACTAGTCAACTAAGTTTTTAAATTAGTCAACTGCAGATGAAATTTTGTTTTTAAACAACGATATAAACAATTAAAAAAACAAAGTTTCAAATTTATTTTTAAAATAAAAATTTCAAACATATTTTATGACATAGGTTCTGTAAATAAATGTAGTACATCATACAAAATAATAGAGGTTAAATAAGATATATTAAAATATTTCTTAAGTTATCAAATCTAAATATAAAACATGATATTAAATATTAATAGATATTATATTATTTAATACATTTTTATTTTAAAATACAATTGCCTATTCTATCTTCATATGTAAAATAGATTTTTATATGAAATTCAATATTTTTTAATGTTAAATAAAAAAAAATGTATTACACTATACAATAATAAATTGTCTTATTACACTTTGCAGTCTACTTTGACTACTACAACTCTAATAACGCAAACATTAGGCACATATAATAAACTATACAACTTGTAAGACAAACAAAAAAGATTTATAAAAATTTACCTTTTAAAATTTTTGGATTCAGCAGCTTCAAAATATTAATCATAAATATAATAAAATGTAACTTGAGATCTTTTTTATGTTTGATAATTGAATTGCTAAATAGGTGGATAATGCTCCCATTAAATCAATAAAAGCTGCTCTTAAACTGCTTATAATGGTAAACTGAGACTTTTAATCAGATAAAGTTGTAACACAGTAAGTAATTTAAATGATTTCAAAAGCAAATATTATTTATTAGAATAATAACATGATACTCAAGAGTAGGATGTTTATGATTTAGCATATTTTTTTTTTAAGTTGTCAAATAGCTTTGATTTTTGTATAGGAATGTGTTTCATGATATCTACATTCAAAATATCAAAATTTTATTTTACATATTTTTCCATTTTTTATTTATAAATGCATAATTTGTGTTTTTGCTGTTTTAAGCACATATTTGAAGGGTTTCAATGCAAAATGCTAAAAAATATTGTAATTTTAAATTTTATTAACCAAAATCTAATATTAGTTTGATTATCTGTATTTCACAAAGTTATTAAAAATTTCAATAGATTCAAAAACATAATATTAATACCAATTAGACGAAGATTTACAACAAAATATTTTTAACAAACGTTAATTATTCAATGTAACTCTTTTTAAAATGTATTTTTTTGTTATATTTTATTTAATTTTATAAAGTAAAAAAGAAAATTCAAAAATATAATAGAAAAGGTGAGCACATATAAATAGCACTGACCAATTTGTTTGTATTGTATTAATAATTAAATTTGTCTCTATTTATTTATTGCATTTCTTTTTTGTCCAAAATTCTTTATTTTTTCAAGCGTTTTTTTTTTTCAAATTGTTGATGCATATTGTTTATATATTCATACATTTTTTAGAGTATAAACATCCTAACTCTAAAGATAATTATGGAAAACAAAATTTTACAATACATAATAATGAATTTATGTTTTGTATAATATTTGTATCAATTTATAGGATGTTAAAAAAAAATATGCAACAAATAATAATTGAGAAAACTAATAATATCAAGAATGTAATTTATATTTGTTTATGAAATCAAATAATAAAAATATTTCAATAAAATTGGATCTTTTCCTGTCAAACTTCTTAAAACAATAATAAGTCTAGTCCTATTATTATAGTGATATGATAAAAATTTGTAAGCCTCAAATACATCAATTATTATCTACATTATAATTTGTTCAGCTATTAAATAAGAAAGAAAATTAATGTAAATGGATTTTTTTTTTTTTTTTTTGGTAAAAAATAAAAATAAAAAAACAGTTTCTATTTATAAAAAAATTATATAATTAACCTCAAGAATAAAAATCGTCTCTATACTCATAATTATAATTTGTTGGAAAACAATCACTTGGAATTGTCAGTATAGACGTAAGAGTTGGAAGTATCATTAAACATTTTATATAACGATTAATACGATTTGTTCTGTGTTTTACGAGCATTAGGTCTTCAGTTGTAATATCGGTATTCTTTTTTTTTGAAGACTGTCGTCGAATTCTGTTTTTTGATTTCAATCCCCGGAATCTATTCTTCATCTCGAATGCCCGTTGTTGACGTATCCAAGATAATACACTTAAGTATGTCATGTGAGCCTCATAGTTAATCTTGGCCCTACAAAAATCGTTCATTTCTATTAATGGTGTTTTTTTACAAACAAAAATATTTAATAAAGTATAATTTTTTCAATACAGTGGTTTAGATAGGAAAATGTTATGCCTTACTGTTAATTCTGTCATCGTTTTCAAAAAAAAATTATTTTTAATTAAAATTAATCCTGTTCTTGTTTTTCAATACTAAAATTGATTTAGCTAAATTCAATAGCAGAAAACTAATTATTGTTAAAAAATGTATGAAGTTATGGTCAAAATCAAATTAAATTGTAATCTAGGAGAAGGAGGCAAGGAATTAAATTCTTGATGCAGTGGTTTGTTGACTTTCTCTTATAATGAATTGAAAAATTATAACAACGATAAATAACGATAGAAGTATTATTAAATATTATTTCGGTTTTCAATTAAGTTATTGAGGTTAGAAATATTCAGTGTCATAATAACATGCATAAAACATAATTAATTTACCTTTGACGTTCGTGCTGGTTAACGATGTGTTCGGTGTTGGTAGTACTGATTATCGGTAATGTTTGAAAACCGTCAAGTCTAGACTGTAACTGTCTTATCAAGTCAAATTTATTAGTGTGAGTGATATTGATTGGATTTAGGCTGGTCAGCGTATCTAACAGCTTGTCACGATAGGAACCCTGAGCTGAAATTATAACGATATGGATTACAGATTAATATAAAAAAATTATATTTTTTAATACATTTCAATATATAAATTACAGAAAATATTCATAGATTTTTATAATTTGAGTTCCTTTTAACCAATACTAAAGTTCAAATTTTTTAAATTCTAAGAATTATGTTTATGAGAGTTGACTAATAACTTATAACTAATGACAACTGTTTTGTTTATATAATTGTCAAAACCAAATATTTCTTTGTTATAAATTCGGATTTTTAAATTTTTTTTGCATGAGAAAAGTTTATAGTCATATAGAATGATGTACATAATGTAATTTAATTTTATCACAACGGTAGAAATTTTTTTTTAAAAAAAAACAAGATGATACATAAGATGATTATTGGATAAAAATTCATTATTGTTTATCCGAAGTCAACGAATTTCATGGAATATCCATTAAAAAACTGACAAATTTTATATAATATTCAATATAAAGATAGATCGTGTAACATATTTTGGTTTAAAAAAAAAAACTATATTTCTTACCAACCAATAAATATATAAAAAAGTATTTAAATCACTGTTGTTTTTATTCAATATTATTGAAATAAAAGTAATACTAGTAACGTGAAATTTAAAGCAAATTAATATAAATGTTATATCACCACAAATTCTTTTAAGAAAAAAAAATAATAATTTAATATGTATAAAACAAAAACAAGTTTAAAATTCACAATAAATCTCTAATTACAAATTTAAAATAATAAATATTATATCTACTCACTGCTGGGTTGAACCATAATATCGGGACTCATGTGTAATGCTTCCCCGTTGGCAGCGATGATTGCGGTGATTAAGACGAAAATGTTTGTCACTGACATCTTGGTGTTGTTCACTGAATAATGAAAAGTGAATACTGGTTGCTTAATACTCTACGTGTCCTCTTATAAGCTATCGTGGCGGCGGCGGCGGTGGTGGCGTAGGACTAAGTTTTCAAACTAAGAAGGGGATAATTTGCCAGACAACCGATAAACTTATTTATTAAATATTTGTTCTCTAAATTGACCGATAACAAATGTTTGAATTTTCAAGGGGAAGTAATACTCTGACAATAGGTCGTGACGAATTAGTTTTATATCCGGTTATCGTAGTACTTTGTCATTGTGTTATTTACTTGTTTTTAATGATATTTTTAATAATCTAGTTTTAATGTTTAATCAGATTATTATTTTAACATTCCTAATGTAACAATGTAAATATATGAAATATACTGGCAGAACGGTAATTCATATCTTTAGGACTATAATCAAAGGTTACTTTAATGTAAATAGTACATTCCTGTAAATTGATCTTGTCCAAATACTATGTACTTTGAACATATTATATTTAACAAAGAACCCATTTTCTTGGTATTATAAAATAAAATAACTTTCTACTATACACAATTATATTATTATAATAATGGGTTTTTACAACTCTGTCTATATGAGTCATGTGCCATGACTAGTAACTTGTGAGTTTGGATAACAAACTTTTAACATATAGACCTCACTGTACCTTATCATCTCGTTGGGAAATAAATTCTATATATATATATATGTAATTTGCTTTTCACTAATGGTATTTTACAAAAGGTACTTCACTGTGTGGTGACATTTGTTGTTTGGGGTACGTTATTCTCGGAATCGATTATATAGAAATGCATTGAATTGCGTGGACAATGGGTGAATAATAATTTTTTTTATTGTATTAGGTATGCGTATTTACTACAGAACACATCTTCTGCATGAAGTATACCTGAAAAAATCTTATTTTTCTCATGACAATACACTGAAAATATTGTTTTCCTTTGTGGCACATTCTGAAATGTCATGGTATTATTTTTTGAAATAATAGTGTAAATTATATCATGTATTATTAAACGACAGTTAGATACATCTAAAGAACTTATGTATACTAAACCCTTAAGGTATTAATTTTAAAATATTAATTTCTTATTAAATGAAACAGGTTTAAAAAAGTATTCGTAGTCAAAATAAATACACTATAGAATTGTGTTTATTTTTCTTTATATTTTTATATAACTCGGTACGTTAATAAAACGCATATTTAAATTATGATCAATCATAATTTTGATAGTGACGATGGAATAATTTAATTGAAAATTGATGAAAACATTTTAAGCCACTTTCCCCATATTACTCACTTAGCAAGGAACAATATATATATAATAGTAATTATAGTGTGAGTATAAGGATATTATGATATTGTATTATTGTTAATAAATAAAATTAATTCATTTGATATAAATATTTATGTTGTTAAGTATGTTAAATATATATTTTATTTAATATATTATATTTACAGTGAGATGTATGAGCTGGTATTGAATTTTAATGGTGATCGACTTGAGTTAATCGACTCTATTATTCGTCAAATTAAATTTTAACATTAGAACTTATTATTTTTTTTTTTTTCGTTTAAAGAGAAAAACAATAATAAAATATATAGAATGAAAACATATATCTTTATCGTTCCATTAAATACACAACTGTAACAACAAGTATGTTGCTTACCAAATGTCATTGAACTATAAATTAGAACAAAATAAATGATAAATTAAATAAATACACACATTTAATTAATGAACTTTCAATAGTTATATTTTTTACATTATACATATCAGCATTATGGAATTTTTAATTTTAATCAAGTTGTATTTCCTTGTTGTCTTACGATATTATTTAAATAGATATTTAAAATATAATACAAATAGTTCAAAACACTCGTTTTTTTAATGGGATAAAAAAAATTCTATACATTTTTATTCTGTCATTCCGTTCAAACAATAAATATAAATTACAACATTTAATACTGTATGTTATTTGTTTAATAGTCATTATTCAATTATTTTATATGTGTAGTACTTTATAAAAATACAAAATATTTAAAACTCCATACGTCCAAAACTACACAAATCGTTTTTTTTTCATTGTAAACTAAAAGGAATATATAGAATTTAAAGCCATGGTGTGTTTCCTTCTTATTATCAAAACATCGTCGTACTCGTGTAGGCCATAAATTCCATGTATTATATTGTGTTACTGACATTTTTCAAAAGTAGACCACCCGCGTTTTAACGACCGACAGCAGGACTTCGGAATTCAATATATTCACAATGGGTTGTGTTAGGTGAACACTGGACAATACACAAAAACTCAATATGTTTTATATTTTATCGAACGTTAGATCTAGAGATATTTAAGCTGATTTTTCGTATGAGAGGCACGTAAAATGACCATTCGAACAAAAACCAATGTATTCCTTAGTAAAGATTTTTATAAAAGAATTTTCGACGAATAACAGCGACGATTCGCCTAATTCGGTCAATATTGGAATTCCATATCCGTTTATATTATGTCTCACCAAAATAATAATATATTATTGTATAAATTCAATATATAATAAATATTTAGTATTAAATAATATAAAGTTTTAAACCAAGTGATTGAATTGTATTTATTAATAATAATACAATATCATAATTCATTTTACCCACACAATTTTTACGTTTATTTGTTTTTTGTTTCATGTTAAGTAATATGGTCAAAATGGCTTAATGTGTTTTCAATTAAAATACTCAGTCATCATTGTCAACAATGTGATTAACAAACATTTAAGTAGGTATGCGTGTTATTTAGGTAGCTAGTTATTTAAAAAAATAAAGAACAACTCGCACATGTATAGTAGATAAAATTGTTTGTATTTAAAAACGCTAGACACTGTTAAATTTGTTCTAAAATGCTAAGTCGTTCGTTATACAATATACAATACGGTCGCATCCGAAAAAAAGAAAGGCACGAACTTGCCGGATGTACAGTGGAACCAAGACGAAAGCCAAAAATAGTAAGAAGCCCTTGTTGCACGTCAATATCACACCAACTAGTGGAGAGAGGGTGATAATCGAGCCTATGAACTTATCGAGTACAAAGGTTGCGTAATATTGCATCATAATTATATTAATATATCTTGAATATCTTCCCTTCTTGGAAGACCTAAGAATGGCTTACAAGTGGGTCGTACACATAGGCGTAACTAGGGTGGTCTTAGGGGGGCTTAGTCCCCCAACATAAATTTTAGCCCCCCTGTCATAATTCCTATTCCCACACTCCCGCCAATAATAGTAACATTTTTATACTTAAATTTAAAATATCGTTTTATTTTTTTTATTAATATCTTGGAAAAATATTAATTTAAACTATATTATTGTATGTAATGATCCTGTGTAAGACGTATCATGTTGTGTAATTTTTACTACACAAATACTTCCTACTAAGAAGTTGTCAATCAACTAAAAATCGTTAAATTCTTTATATCTAAAATAATACTTAATAATATGTTAATATATAAATATTTAACCTCAATACCACTTGGTTTATTATTTGTTTTATAATTAAATATTAATTTACATTCATATTACATGTATAATTAATGAATGTAAGGTGTTTGGGGGGTATGGGGACAGAGCCTCTCACTTTATTTACTTATAATAAAAATTCTAGGGCTGAAGCCCCCCCCCCTAACTTAAAGGTCTAGTTACGCCTATGGTCGTACAAGCAAATAATGCACATATCGACCGGTCAAGGAGGTTACTAGACGATTTGATGATAAATTTGATTGAAGAGGTGGATACCTATATGTACAAAAATGACAAGTGAAAAATACAATATTTAAAACAAAAACTATAATTAAAAGTATTGTCGAATGCAACGAGTAGGTAAAACAAAACTAAAAATAATAATTATTTAGTAAAATAACAGAATAAATCTTAGTATAATCGTAAAATAAAAATTTGTTAAATTACAACATAATCTTAAGTAGTCAACCAAATAACTTAGACAAAAGGTTAGTAGTTTCAAAATAAGTATGAACAATATAATATATAAATAAAGTTTCACAATATGCAATAAGTAGAAATACATACGTCGTAATTTATAACTAGGATCCAAACAATTTTTTCCATGCACCTTTTTATTGAAATAATAAGAAATCGACATTTTTTTTTTTTTTGATTGCTTAGACCCAGGTTACCTGGATATGTTGAACAATAATACGGCTTGACCCGGACACGGTCCAGAGCAGTGAGAATAGATCTTTATATGTATTAGATTGTTACATTATATTATTATTTATTTAAAATATTTTTTTGTTCCCTCCTTTTCATATAAATCATACAAAATATGTATATAATTGATTTCCGTCTACTAATTTGTCGCAATTATAGGTAGGTAATTGATTATATTATACTAATTTTGAAATATAATTAAAAGATTTAAAAGATATTGAAAGCAATACCTACTCAACTTATAAAAAAAAAAATGAACAACGAAGCCAATGAAGGTACATATGATTTATTAGCTGAAACACATATAATATACCAAAAGTTGGAGTGATGACTATGATTTATATGCACAAAAAATCCTCAAAATATGTTTCTAAAAATACTTTAATATGCTACAAAATATGCACTAAAAATTGAATAGAAAATATTGTATTTAAAATTATGTAAAAAAATAAATATTAATTTATTATTAAAAAAAAAAGAATAAAAAGGTTTTAAAAGTATAAAAAAAGTAGTTCTTAATCTTCGCCATTTAACATTCTTTATCTTCAATCTATAAAATGTTAGCCCAAATTAATAAAAAATTAAAACAAAAATTGATCTATATTAATATACTATATTATATACCTATGTTACATATGGGCGATTGTAAATTCCACCGATTTATAGGTAGTCGATTTTTGGGTTGAATTTAAAACATGTAAATTTCACTGGTACGTTTTTTTTTACAACATGTTAACTTCACCAATGGTAAAATGAGTAACTACTAACTAATAATCATTATTTATAAATACATTTTTTTTTTAAATTTGTATAAAAAAAATGATGCAAGTATCTAAATTTTAAATATATTACCTATGTATAAATAAGAAATCTGTGCATAAATTATATACCTATTACCTTTTGTAACTTATTCATTTTATTATTATTATTATTATTATTATTGCTTACTTGTTTTATTGTTATTGCGCCATGTTAATCAATTTTATTTTAATTTTTTTTAACTAACTGTAGTATGTTACCTGTTGTAAAATGACACCTACCAAAAAACATTTACTGATTAATAACAATTTATTACTAAATAATTTATCAATATGTAAAAATAAGGATTTTTTTATTTTAAGAGTGATAAGTTTGACAACTTTTTTTTGGACATTGTAAATTTGTTAGTAACTTTTAATAAATTACCATTTGAGTACCTTCAACGATCATTTTTTTGATATTCTTTCAACGTACCTTCACAAATAACACCATCTTTTAATTTGGAACAACTACCAAGTTCTGGAAACAATTTTCTTTCTTGAAAATAACACATGTTTTCTCATTACATATTATGTGTCCGTATAAATAGCGCATTGATTTGTTCATTTTTATTTATTTTAAAATAAAGAAATAAAAAGTAAAACTCGCAATGATTAGGACACATACGCAAATACAACAGACACAACATAGACTAAAATAATATATCTAAAAGCATTGATTATAGAATATAATATTATAGTATATTTTATAATCAATGCTAAAAATAAGTTATCATGGGTCTTGGTGGATTAGATATCATAATGACTACCTATTAAGCTATAATTTTGTACAACTGTTATAATATGTTATTTATCGTAATGACTCATATGCACTTTCCGCAATAAAATGAAATAAAATAAAAATAACTATGGTAGGTAGCATATTACAGGCATACAGTTTTTGGTAGATACCATTTTACGGTAGGTAGCATATTAGACGAGTACCCAATAAAGATACATTATGGTCGTTATTAACATACGATGAAAATTAATATGAATACGTATGTTATTATTGAACCACTTAAATTCATAACATTTTATATTCAAAGTAACTTGTACTGAGCATTGATTTTATCGTGGAAGTTGTAGGTAGCATCCTCACTACTACTTGATAAAATTATGCAAAGTACATATTTAACAACGTCTAGCGTTTTAAATACAAACAATTAATAAATCTATAAATGTGCTTATTGTTCTTTATCTTTGTAAATAACTGGCTATCTAAATAACACGCATACCTACTTTAATGTAATGTTAATCATATTTTTGATAAAGACGATGGAGTATTTGATTAAAAACAGATTAAACCACTTAATCCATAAGACTCAAAAAATAATAGTAATAATTATGTGGGTACCTACTACCTATAATGTGTCAATCGTGATATTGTATTATTATTGATAAATATTAAATACAATTCAATCAATTGATATAAAAATTTATGATTAATGATTACGTTATTAAATATGTTATATATATATTCATTTATAAAATGTATTATTTTTTTTTTTAGTGAGACGTATTAACATAAACTGGTGTAGAATTCTAATGATGACCGGACTTGAGTGAATCGTCGCTGTTATTTGGGAATACATTTGTTCTTGTTCGGATGGTTATTCCATGTTCCTTCGTGAAGAAAATCATCATATATTGTACTCGATTTAACGTGCAATATGATAGAAAACTAATCGATACTTTGCAAATTGTCCATCCAAAACAATTCATTGTGAAAACAAGATGTTTTGGTCGTTAATACGCAGGTTGTATATTTTCGAAAAATATCTGTATCAAATTATAATGTATGGAATTTGTCGCCAACACAAGTACGATCATGATAAATAAGATAGGTACTAGGTAAGCACCTATGTCAGCAATATCCGAACTTCCAACTAAGTTCGCTCAAACATGGTCGCCAGGCGCAGGCTTTCGCTTATTATCATTATTTACACTTTAAATGATAGCTACTGGTTACCTATTGTTTTAAATTAAAAGTTTTAATAAATTATCCAAAAAATGTCAGTGTGTGTACATTAAGGTTTTTTTAGTGGCAGTAAAAGGCAAGACAAATAACAAATAGCTGGTGTTCATCTGCATAAATTAATTAGACATCTTGACTTGCATGAAAAATGGCACAAACACATTCAGAAAGGAACTACTGTAAATTATGTTAACTTTGAAACAGGTAGGTAACAACTGTTTAAGGTTTTGTCAAAATAATTTTGAATAGGTGTGTGTAATAAATAATACCATCAATAGGTACCTATTCACTATATTTATATTTTTTATTATAAGTATTAAGTATTCATATTAATTTTTATACTTTACTGCCAATAAATTATTATTGAGCTACTTTTTACAAACTGACAATTTTTAGATGTAAGTAACTAACATGCTTCTGCATTTTTTTACACATCATAAGATAGGAAAATTGTATGCTCAAAAAGTGGCTGGGTACTCACCTATAAATAGCAAAAGGTTTAAACCGGATGCAATGCCTTTAAGGTAAATTAATTACTTTAATATATATATATAATATAATATAATATATATATTTATTGTTACTAGTAATATACTGAATTAAAACCTTTAATTGTATATAGTATTGAAGGTATAGATTATGATGATATCCCATGTTTAAAATATCTATAGCACCAAGTGGAGTATTTACTATTACACATTTTGAAGAGTCGTCCACCAATAAAAATGTTCAACAGTAAAAATTCTAGTATAATCACTTTTATAAATAATTGCTCATTAATTACTTACATAAATATTTTTATTTTTTAGCACATATATTAACAAAGTTGGAAAACATGCAGTGTTTATTAGCAGTGTTTTTAACACCAACCCAATCGAAAATATTATTAATAAAAAATGCATGTTAATAAAACTAATAATAAAAATGTACAGTATAGTAATGAATTAAGAGTTAAGCCTTTAGTGGTTAAAATTCTTGATATTTCATCAAATAACTTGGTTGAGAGGTATCAATTATTATGAATTATGATTATTTATTTTGTATGCACTGTGATAATATATAGTAAGTACCTAGTTATTTTTCTAATATTTTAGTACAGCTTTTAACATTTGATTTTTAAGTATATTTATTCATAATCAATGCAATAGAAGAAAAAATGTAATTCAAAAATACAGAAATCTCTGTTAAAAATACTCATTAATGGCTTTTAAAGGGTAATATGTATGGACATATAATTAAAATCATACCTTTAGAATCGTTAAATTGTTTTTGATGTAGAGATCTTTAATAGTTGAATAAACATTTTAGTTAACAATATTAAATTAGATTAATTTTATGTTGTGATTTTATGAATGTATATTAATTATGAATTACTTTATGTGATTAGATATGTTTATTTTATTAATTTATTTTAATATCTGTATAAATATATATTTGTATTTTAAATGTATAGATTTAAAAATAATTTAGATCAATCTAAAATAAAAATGAAATCCTATTAGCAAAAAATAATAACTTAAGAACAACTATTAAAACTTTAAAAGATTATATTAACTTAGAAGATAACCGTTTTGAAAGCAGTTTTGGAAAATTATTATTGAATCTGTTTACTTTTACTTAAATTAAATTCTTTTTACATCCTACTAAAATATTTGTCACTGGGTGTCTGAAGTCATATTGTCTGCGATAACGCAATGTCTTTCCAAAAGCTTACCGCTATTTGAGAAACAAAATAAGTTTTCCATTATTAGATTTATGATCAATACTTTTTAATTATTTATTTATTTATATACTAAAAATAGTTATACATTCTAAGGACTTTCTATGCTTATAAGTTGGGTTTCAAAATTTTCTGTCGAACCAGGTATTTCAGATGACGTGTTGTCGTTAATAAAATTTAATCTAATTTTTAATGTAATCAAAATAAATAATAAACTAAAATAAAATATAGTAAATTAACTAACATTACTATTCTATTCAAATTTCAAGTTGACACAATTGAAATCAATGAAAAATTAACTATTTTGTGTTTTGATAAAACTTATACATCAAAGAGAATATGCTTTGATAAAAAAAACGAACAAGTTATAGATCCTCCCTCATAAATCTGTTCAAACAGTGATTACAAGAAGTAAATAAAAAATAAAATGATGTCTATAAAAATCAAAGCTGATTATCTAAAGTTCTACTAGCATTTAGTATAATTAATACACGTTTCTTTAAAATATAGAACTAATTAATAACTGGAAGCAACTAATATATTACAACTTTGATAAGTGGATGACTAAAGAAATATTCTATAAAGTAATAAAAGAGTTAAATGTAGTTGTAATAGTTAATGACTGTGGTTCTACAAATGTAGGCTTATGGAAAATTTTAGACATTTCCATTTACAATATATCATTTGAACATCCAAAAATAAATACCAGAATCCATGTTATTACTGATGTCCAGCATTTACTGAAAATAGTTAAAAACAATTTTCTCTATAAGTAAGTACTTCCAACTTCTATTATAGTAACATTAGTTGTAAAGTTCTGAATATTAACTATGATAAAGATTATAAATTTGCTCATAAATTGTCTGAGCAACATCTTTTTGTAGAAGGATTAGACCTCATGAACGTTAGATTAGCAGCAAATGTATTTTATAATTCAGTTTCAAAAGCCATTGCATATTGTGGAGAAAATAATTACCTAGATAAATATAACTAGAAAGAGAACAGAGGTAATTATATAAAAATAAAATATGTATAATTATTAATATTTTTTTTTATATATAATTAAATTTAGGCTTTTGAAATTATACTATTATTTAACGACTGGTTTGATATTTTCAATACCCAACATAAATTTGATGAAGAAATTGTAAGCTATGGCCTGAATACAGAAGATCAAGACATTTTAATAGATAAAATGAGTGCATTTATTAATGATATGAAAGTAAATAAAAATTTATTTATTTTTCAAAATGGCTAGTATCTAACTATTGAATAGTTTTATAATACACTGCCATGAATAATAAAATATAAATAATACCCAAATTAAAATATTATATTATACTTTTATCTTGTTTTGTAGGTATTTTAATATCAAATAAATCATTGAAAAATTTATTGAATGATTTAAAAAACATGTATTGCTTAGAATATAATAAAGGAAAGAAACTAAACCAAGATGTGCTGGAAAATCTTTTTAATTTTCTAAATGGAATGTGTGGGTACGTAAGTAGTAACATTACCACTTTAGATTTAAAATACAGTTATCTAATTAAATTGATGATCTGTTTTAAAATTATAATGTATACTATATTTGTATACCTATTAATTACTATTAGCAATTAGATTATATTGTTTCATTTCAGCTTATGATGGTACATCTTGAAAAAAGATTCTAACATTATATTTATTGTACATTCTAAGCATAATTCTGAAGTTGGTCTCAAAACTAGTCTTTTGATGGTAACAACTGTTTGATTGGTTAAATGTTTAAAATTTTAGATCTGTTAGAAACTAATGTCACAGAATTCAATAATAATATTGTCAATGTTGAATCTAATAATGAAGTGATGACAGGATCTATTTTAAAAACGAATTTAGATCTTTTAGAGAAATTTGAAGTAAATAAATCATATTGCCAATTATTCATAACTTGCTACATATTCACCTCAACTATTATGCATATGTTAATATAGCTAGAAACTATAAAGCCATTTGAAGATTTGGAAGGAGAATGTATTGAGTATTTTGGTGGATATATTGCAGTTCGATTTTTAGTCAATATCCATGTCTAACTTATGATTAATGAATCAAATGATTCTGAAATTATTGATAGTTGGAATATATTTATTTCATAAGGAAACCTTAAAATCTTCTGCGAGCTATGAAAATAGTAGAAATATACTTTAAGCAGCTTCACAGAAACTACTTAAATAAAGAAGCCAATATTATTAAATAATTATTAAATAATAATATAATGAAAAAAAAAATCAATAATATACCGGAGAAAGTTATTAGGTATATTATACGTACTATTACATATATTAGAATAAATAATTTGAATAAATATGTTTTAAATACCAATCATAAAAATAAAAAACAAAATAAATAAAAACTGATAAACATTATTTATTATACTCAACAGTTTTAGTTATATAATTACTTTTTTATCTATTAATGGTTAAAAAACAAACTTGTTGGTTTTTATTTTCACTTATTTCTTTTAAATCAAAAAGTATTAATTAATTCTGATTTCACCTATTTTAAGTTCATAAGGCAAAAACAATTTTTGGAAAATTTCAAATTTAGTGTTTATTTTATTATTACAGTGATATCCACTGATATCTTTAAACGCAATTTTTATTTAAGCATTAGATTATTTAATGTTTATATGAATAACCTAACATGAAATAAAAATTGATTATAACAAGGAATGCTTGATGTTGATAATTGTATAATATAGTATTGTATACAGTATTAATTTTTATTATTTATAAATTTGCCTCGCTGTTTTTACAATTTATTTATTTCTCTTCATAATTTCATCGTATAAAAAATACGTCTGGTTTTTTATACTCTCCAAGGCCAGTCCAAAGACTCCCAAATCTTACCAAGTGTATATACTGTGTTTTATGTCCGTGGGTCTGGGTACACTGTACTGCGTTCTTCCATACATCTGTTTTGTTTTTCTGTCAAGTGTCAGTTGACGCCGAGGTATCGAAGGTTCCGATGTCACTTTGTTGGCGTTAACCTGTTGCTTATAATTTTTAATATTTTTTATTTCGTAATTCGCCAAAGCGCTTCTAAAAATTATATTATCTTGGAATCTTAAACAAGTGTTTATTAATACGTGTACTTCATTTTAATGTTGATTTATGAATTTGCATAGAAATAACAAATTTATCACCATTCGATTGATTGTTTTCATCTGGAGGTAGTATGTTGCAATTAATTATACGATAATAAATTTAATATTATAAATGTGTTAGTAATTAATATTTATAGAAAAATGTTTGAGTCTAAATTTTTTTATTATTATTAAATCAACATTTTTGTTTACTGAAATTAATTTTTCCCTAACTTTAAAATAACATTTTTACAATTATTTTATTAAACTTAACCAAATGTTTAAACATTTAAAAAACATAATTTTTTATGACTTGAAATTGTATAAGATATATTTCCTCTAAAATGAAATAAATAACATACAATTCATAACATTTTTAATACATTGTTATTATTGCATATATTAAATTACAATAAGTGACTAGATGTTATTATGTTGGTTATGTTCATTTTAATTTTTGCTTAATTAGCTGCAAAAAATTATAATATTAAAAATATATTTTATGACTAGTTGTTTTCGCCTGAAGTAGCTTAGCAAATAATAGATTTGCTTGCTTTTAGAATAGAGGATATAAAATAAAGATAAATGAGTAAATTAAAAATGTAAAGTATTACAAATATACTAAAAAAATACTATTCACATACTATGAATATGTTTTTCCCATAACCAAAAATATAAATTACTTTTATAAATAGGTATCATCTATCTTTCTGTATTCTTTGTTATTTTTTTGGTGGGTTTATACTTTTAGTATACACATTTTAAAAATAATTTGTTAATCTTTAATAATAAAATTAATAAAAATTAAAAACATGTTGTTTGTTCTGTTATATACTTTTAAAACTATTATTAAAATATAATTACTTGTTGATAAATCTAGGTATAAAGTTAGTTTGTAGTTATGTATAAAACAAACTTGACCATTTTTAAATAAATTATAGTTTTATTTCTTGTAATTATAAGTGTAATGATGGGAATTTTTGTTTTTATATTTAAATTGTGAGTTGCATAAAACTGTAAAATATGTTCAAACCGCTATCAATACATCATCACATAGGTAGGTAACTACTAACAGTTTTAACTATTGAGTCTAACGCACTATATCATATTTTATTTATTTTATTAACATTACACTTAATTTGTTTTTATATTACTAATTAATTTTAAGTCTATTGTTGTAACATCAAATTTGAATTTAAATTTATTTCACAATTAAATTACCAATTCTAATTTGATAGATCCTATAGAGGATTCAACACAGCAAGAATTTAATGATCCTCAAAATAGCATGATTTCGTTTGAAAATAATCACGTAAATTTTAACGATCAAGATAGTAGTATGAACTCTAATCAACAAGATAATATGAATTCTAACAATCATATGCCAATGAATTATTCATATGACCGAGAAAATGGACATTCAAATCCTGAAAATGAACAATTGTTTAATGATAATGAGAGAGGTTCTTTCAGGTATTTGTAACCTTTATTTTAAATGTTCAATAATCTTATATTCTTACAACTTTCATTCAATAGGAAATTTGGAGATGGTCAAGTTGAAAATAATTATGGATCTTCTGCATATAGAGGTGATCCTCATGAATCATCTCTAAATATGATAAATGGATCACCTCCAGTATCTCAAGGAAGTCCACTGTTTGGAGAAAGTCAAATACCACCATTTAATGAACAAGATAGAAATGGACAGGCTGAAAGTCAATCTACTAATCAGTTATCTTTATTATTACAAGTATGAGTTTCTTAAAAATACAATAATTATATAATAATGAATAATGATTATTTGTTTCATTATTTTTGTATTAAATATAGACATTTTAAATCTCTAAATTAATTATTTGTATTTCTTTTTAAATTCTATAGATGCCATCTGTAATGCCTCCAAATAATGGAGTATCACAAGGCCCACATGCATTGATGTATTTAAATGTATGGGTTCGAATTAAAGCTGTTGATGGAAAATTATATTATTATAATGCTAGAACACGTGAAACTACTTGGGATAAACCATCCGGGGATAATATTAGTATAATTTCTTATGAAGAGGTATCTTAATTTAAAGTAGAATTATATAAAATAAGAATTTAATTATAATTTAATGATTTCTCAGGTTGAAAAACTTAATAATCGTAATACTAATAAAATTGCTAAACATAATGAAGGTGAACAAACTCCTAATGGTGTTGAAATGAAAAATATTGAAGACAAATCATATAGTAAAAAATATTTTTACATACTTAATTGTATAAAAAAAGTTTAGTTAAATGTTATTTTAAAGAGTATTTTATTTGATTTAGATAATGTTGGAGTATGTCCGTTGGGTAGAGTTCCTGGCCAAATGATGCCTGCAACAAATTTTACATCGTTTAGTGAACAACCACTATTTGATGTGAAATCTCCAGAATTTCTACAAGCAGCTCCATGGAGTAAAATGCACCCAGGATTTACACCTTCACCTATGACAATACCTGGAATGGAACTCGATAGTCAAGTATGATGATTTTATATTGTTTATAGTTAAATATGATCGAGTTATTAAAACGTTTAACTTCATTTATTAGATAGATCCAGTGATTTTAGCTAATGCTGCCGAATGGTTAGAACATTGTTTACCTAATGGATCAGTCTATTATTATAGTATGAAAACATTTGAATCAGTGTGGAAAAAACCTGAAGCACTTAAAAATCTTGATAGTGAGTATTTAATAGTATTAAATGGTTTTTTTTTCATGTAAGATATTATCATATTTTTAATTTTGTATTAATTTTCATTTTAGTGGCTAGAAATTTTTTTGCTGCAAAACAAAGAAAAGAAGCTGAACAAAAAATGGAACAGAAGTCAAATCTTCAAATGGACATGGGTTCCCTTTCTGAATCAATGAATGGTTCGAATTCAAATATTGGCTCCGTTAAAAGAAAAGATGAAGAAGTTCAAGAGCCTAATAAAAAAGCTAAAATTGACGAAAACCCCAAAATTAAAGTCTTAACTAAACCTGTATCTTCTAAATCTGTTGAAGGAACTCAGTGGTATGTTTTTTAATCGTGTGTAATTATACTTCCACACTAATGACATACCATAAGTTTTTTAATTTAGCTATAGATGTATAAATTAACTTAATAAAAGAAAAAATATATCGATGCAATTTATAGAAAAAAAATATATCTTTAAATTAACCATTGATTAGATAAATGAATGACCATGGAGTAAAAAACCATATTCTTAATATTATAATGAAATAAATTAAGTAAAATGCTGGTAAAGTAAATTTACTTGTAATTATTTTTTTTAAGTTATTTTTAATTAGTGAGGTTTTTAAAGAAGGGAAATTATAAATATTTTATATAAATTATTCAAAAATATATTTGAATATGTGATGAATAAAGAGGTATACTTTGTTCCAAATAAAAACAAACTAATTTGCATTTATCAAATAAGTAGATTTTTTTTTTGTTTAAATTTGCCATAAAATTCTTTGAGTTTTTATTTTACATTTATAGGTGTATAGTATGGACAGGAGATGGTCGTGTATTTTTTCATAAGCCTTCAACCAATACATCAGTTTGGGAAAAACCAGATGATCTTAAAGGAAGATCTGATGTTGAAAAAATGGTATCAAATCCACCAAAAGGAGTTCAAGCTTTTAAAAATGATGAAGAACAATCACCAACTAAAAATACAAAGCCTGGTGGTAGTAAATTTGTTAAATATATAATAAATTTTAAATATTTTCAAATTGTGTTGATAACTTATTATAGATACAACTTCACAAGAAAGTACTATCAATACTAAAAATGATGTTCAACTTTTAATTAAAAATTTAACAAAGGATTCGGCTATAGAAATAGAATTTCTAGCAGCTAAAAAAAGAGCAGCATTACCATTAGAGACTCGATTAACTGAATTTAGAGGAATGTTATCTGAGAAAAAGGTACTAGAGATAATATTAATCAGCATTAATTTTATAAAATAAATATTGACATTTTTTATGATTTTAGGTCTCTGCATTTAGTACCTGGGAAAAAGAATTACACAAAATAGTATTTGATCCTCGCTATTTGTTATTAACATCAAAAGAAAGAAAAGAAGAATTTGCAAAATATATAAAAGAAAATGCTCTCAAAGAAAGACAAGAAAATCGGGACAAACTGAAAATAAAACATAATGCTTTTAGACAATTGATGAAAGAAGCTAATCTTACAACAAAGTAAAATAAAAAATAAAATAACAATAATAATAATAATAATAATAATAAAACATTATATTATTATAGGAAATCATATAGTGATTTTAGTTCCCAAAATTTTAAAGATAAAAGGTATAAAAGTATTGAAAAATCACGTGTAAGAGAAAAATTATTTTATGAATACATGGAAGAATTACGGAAGCAGGAAAAGAAAGAAAAAACGTTGCATCAGGAACAGGTCAGTGATCCATTGAATTTTATTAATTTTAAATCATTTATAACTAAATTATAGTATTTTGTATCTGTACTATTTTCATTAAAATGAATACAATTAAATAAACATATTAATATTTATTTCTTCTTAAATGTACTTTTATTCAGAATAAGTGTATACCAATTTGTAAATGTATAGATGGGTAATAGAGTCTATGTTCCTGGTAGCTGGCAATAGAGATATATGTGCATATACAACATGTATGTTTATTTACTCTGGCACCATTTTGTATACTCTTATTTTGAATATAGTATAGTAAATAATAATTAATAATTAAATTTGAAATATACAAGAAAGAATACTGAACAAACACAAACTTTAAAATATAATTTAGTTAATGTTTACTAAATATATTTATTAGTAAATCAATTTTAACTAATTTTTTCAGATGTTTTAAATTTTCTTCTTATAATTATAGATATTTAAAATCAATTAAGTAATATTATTGTTTATTAACATTTTATTAATATTTTAAAATTTAATATACATTATGTATTTAAACATATTTCAGGTTTATTTTTGTTAGAGTCCATTTTTTTTATATAATTATTATTAATGTAATTTAAATATTTTTTTAGGTGTTGAACTATTAATATTATATGATGTAAGATTTATATACATTTTATTAAATATTTTAAGTTTTACTTGGTGATGAAAAGATCCAATTAATTTTAATTTATTGTCTACTTTTTACATTATGCAATGAATGGATATTTTGTTTTGCTTAACATTTAAATATTAATTATATATTAATATTATAGCTGTACTAAAAAAAAGTTTACTTGAATTCGGGGTTGGTAAACTTTATTTTTTATATGAAATTAAATTAAAATTAACTTTTATTTATTCAATAAAACTATAATAATAACCACAAATTAGTTTGTGGTAATAAGTATAACTATAATAAAAGTAATATAATAGTTAATACTTAAAATTATACATTTTTATTAAATAAAATGAAATCTAACATTTTTATATGACTATAATATAATCAACTGATTCCTTTTAAAAAATATTAGCCAAGATAAAATTATTTTTGGATACACATTTTTGACTTGAATCTTTCACTAATAGTTTATAATCAAAATTATTATTAAAGAAACATAAAAAAAAATATAGTTTTTTATGATACAAAATAAATTGACCATAGTTTTGAAGTTTAAATATTATATCCTAAAAATTTAAATTAAGTGTAACTAAGGATATTTTTATTTTCTCAGTTTAAAAATAACAGTGTATCTACGACCTAAGTTGTGGACATAGTAGATACTCAACTCTGGCTGTAGACGTATTGAATAAATATTAGAAATCTGAAATCCATGTCTAATTTTTATGCAATAAATCAGCATATGTTTTTTCAAATACTCTATGAATAAGATCTTTTAATGTATAAATGTATATTTTCTACAATATGCATAACTGTATCTAAATCTAATACATTCACAATTAGAATCGGAATTTTATTAGATTTAGACATGATTATGCACATTATGTAATAATGTTGCGACTTAATTTATTCTAATTTCTTTAAAGGTATTATGGAATTGATTTATTGGTCTTGGTATTCATTTAATACATCTACAACCTAGGTTATATATATATATATATATTATACAGTAAAGATAATGTATAATTTTAATTGTTATATTATTTTTCATAAATAATTAATAAAATATAAACTTAAACTCCTTATAACTTCTTAATTATTTTATTTTGATATTAAACATTTCATAAAAAAAAAAAAAAAAAAAAATGGGTTTGTGTGTTAATTATGATAGATGTGTAATTTATCTTTTACAAAAACAGTATTTTACTTCTACTTGGATATTTTTATCTCTGTATCTCTCTAGAACTTTTTAATATGAAACCATAAACAAAAGTTTAATTTTAAAAACGAAATAAAGTGTTGGTATGTTTTTTAATGAATGGAATTTGAATGGTGACTTTTTATCTGTTAAATTTAAAACATTAATGAATGTTCATATTTGTATAAATCTTAAGTTTAACTGACAATTATTTAATCATCACTACCAATAACTGTATGATCTTGTAACCTAATGTCTTGAGAATGGATAGTTAAATACAACCCTGCCAGCGCTAAGCAAACCCAGTTAAACTATTCAAACACCAGAATCGAGGATTACCTCCACCTTATGGATTTATTTTACTTGGATACAAACAGAAAATTAATTTTTACTCTGTACTAAGTATTACTTTTGCCATCAAGGAATTTTTGATCTTTTGTTTTAATGATTTTGAAGTGGTATTCCAAACAGAACATGAACATAGTACTTCAGAAAATCAAAGTATTGATATTCATAAAATACAAAATCTAACTTTTAATCATAAAAATTAAACTGGTAAATTAAATTAGTTGCGATGTATAACATTTTGTATATTTTGGTTTCTTTATTAATCGCTTAAGGTATAGTATTTTAAATTATACTTAGTATAATTATTGTAGAGATTATACATTCTGACAATGTTGTAAAAACGAAAACAAATTTTGTATGAAGTTTAGGTATTTCTGTTGTTTTTGGTTTGAATATTTTAGATCATCTGACTGTATAATTGACGTAGAAAAATTGAATATTAAATTTTATATAGTTATTTAAATAAATGATTACCATATTAGTATTGCATAAGACTTAAAATTATTCATTTTCCACAATAATTTAGACTACCTACACTATTTTTTATTGCAAATAAATGTTAACCAAAACAGTTTTAATAAATTACATATATTTAAGTATGTATTGGTTTCATTGAAAATTAAAATATTTTAAAGTTATTAAGCAAAAAGAAATTGTTTACATTTAGTGATGAATACAAATGTTTCATCAATATTTTCTAAAATTATAATCATTGATGAGATTAACCAACATACTATTTAAATATAATATAATACTTCTGTTTATTTCAAAAATTAAATATACAAATAATTATATGTGTGTAAATGTTTTAATTAAATACAGTTTTTATAGAATTATTCACGATTCAGTTGTATGTGTATATTGTACACACTGATAAACTTTTACTTTTTAATTTATAAATACATTTGACATAACTAATTTTATTTTCAGATTTAATAATATTATTTTCAACATTTTATAAGTGAAAAATCAAAATTGTAATTTTAATAAATATTTAAAAATTTTAAATTAATAAATGTATCATTGAATATAATTTAATTGATTAAATTTGTAAGTATTTCATTTTGATTTCTCATATTAGTGTTTATATTTATTTTATAGTGATTAATGTATTCTTCTCATAAAATACATTGTTATAAATAATTATGTTTATTATTATCATGTATTATAATTTTTTAATGACTGCGTATATTATGTTGTGATTACTTGATTATATTTGTTGTATGATTTAGAATGTTTTGTCTTAAAAATAATTTTAAATTCCAAGCAATTTATTGTAACCAATTTGTTTTTAATGTTTAATCTAACCAGTTTACTGTAAAAATATTTTATAGATTCGAGAGCCGTTTATAAAATTATTAAAGGAGCACACTGAAATTGATCGACATACTCGTTGGTCTGAGATAAAAATTAAATTAAAACATGACTCTAGATATAAAGCAGTTGATTCCAGTACATTACGTGAAGATTTTTTTAATGATTATATAAGGATTTTAAAGGATGAAAGAAAAAAAGAAAAGGAACGAAAACGTAATGAAAAATACAAAAATAATCATAAGCGAATTAAACTAGATGAGGAAGAAAAAGAATCATCTGCTATAGTTGACTCAAAAGTAAATAGTAACTTCAATTAAAATTTTTTTTTAATAATTAATTATAAACAAACAATTATAGCATGATGATAAGTCACCTGAGAAACAAAAAAAAGAATTAAAGGACTCCAAGGATTCAAAAGATTCCAAAGAAGCTCGAATTAAAGCTAGCTTGAAAGAGCGAGAAAAAGAAGTTCAACATACTTTAGTTGTACATTTGAAACAAAGAGAAAATAAGCGTAAACAACATAAATATGATGAAGCAGTTGTTTATTTTAATGCTCTTTTGGTTGACATGGTTTGTCTTTCATTAATATGATTATAAGTTTTGGTTATAAATACATTTTATTTAAACTTTTTTTTATTATTTTAGATTAAAAATAATCATTTGTATTGGAAAGAAGCAAAAATGCAATTAAAAAAAGATAGCAGGTATGATTTAGCAGATTCATTAAATTCTGAAGAAAAAGAAAAGTTGTACAAAATTCATGTAAACAATTTATATAAGCAAAAGAAAGAAAAATTTTGGCAAATGTTAAATGAGATAAATGACTTAACTTTAGATAGTTCTTGGAAAGAGATTAGAGAATTAATTAAAGAAGACATACGATATGTGCGATTTTCATCTAGAGACAGCGTAAGTAAATTTAAAATTATATATGATAAAAAATTTTAAATATTAATTTAAATATTTTTTTTTTTTAGAAATGCGAAAGAGAGTTTAGAAAATATTTAAAATATAGAATCAATACTGCTAAAAATGAATTCAAAAATCTTTTAATGGTAAATTATTAAGAGTTTTTTTTCTGAGTCTTGTTTTTATTCAAATATTTGTTTGGTTTCAGGAAACTAAATTGATTACTCATTTATCAAATGCAAAACTACATGAAAACCATGAAACTTATTTTAAAGAGCTTGTAGATATATTAAGCAAAGACAAACGGTATTTATTTTTGGATAGCATAGCTGATGAACGTTTGGAGTTAATAGTTTCCTATATCGAAGAATTAGAAAAACGTGGTCCACCCCCACCACCTACTGCTACAGAACGGATCTACGACTACTATTGAATAAATATTTTTTAATTTAAAAGACTAAATTATTTCTGTTTTTCTATTACCGTAATACTTCAACATCAACAATAATTATACATTTATTTTTATTTTTCAGAAATTATTTTTAAAATATGTTTTTTATTCAATTTATTTGTGTTTTTTATTGTTATTTTTTTTTTTATAAGCATAAGTATCAGTAAATAAGATTTTTTTCTTATTACTGCACAGAATAAACTAGTTTTTTATGATTCAATAATACTATTGTTGACATTAATAGGAAATGGAATAGAAATAATATTTTTTCTTTTACAATTTTCAGGCATAAATTGGCCACAATTAATTTTATCAAATATATTCTATTTGCAAAATGTAATGTTTTAATTAATAAATTAAATGAACTATTTATTTTGACATAATATAAGATCGAGAAAAAATTAATATAAAAGTCAAATATAGGTACCTTTTGAAATCTGGTTTATCCTGTCTGTACTTTCATGTTCACGAACATAGTTTTGTAGTTCAAAATATTATAAAAAATATAATTTAACCTTTTGTATTTGTACGGGTCTGTGATTTTATTAAACTAATTGATTAAAAACATATAATCTTATAATATTTATTTCCTTTCTTCTATATCAGTATAATATGGCATTGATGGAAGTTACAATTATTACTATTCATCATATTATAATATATTTATTCAAAATAATTTAATTTAATGTTGTAGTTTTAAGTTTAAATAAAACTGTTTAAACGTTCAATAGCTTCATTACATGGAATTCTGTAGATTTAAATGAGAGTCAAATATATGATTAATATCTGATATATGTATTAGCTAAGATGAAAATAAAAAGATAATAAAGATAATAAGGCTATATTAAAAACAAATTAAATACATTTTTTTTTTTTTTTTGTTAAAATTGCTTTTTCAAAATTACCTATAATTCTACCTTTCTACTTCCTTATTTAAAACGATAGTAATGTATGTCAAATTTATTAAAATTTGAATGATTAAGTAAATGAAAACAGATAGATAAATCATATATCTGACTTTAAATAATATTAGACCAACCGTTCTTTTAATTGGCCATTTTATAGCAGTTATAAAAAAACTATAAAAAAATTAAGAAGTTGTTATATTTATAAATAGCTCAAAAAGAGTTAAAAAATTTAAAGTTGAAAATTTACTAAACGATTTAATAGTTAATACTTATACTATAACTACTAATATACCTCATTCTACAGGTAGTTAGGAAATTGAAGTCTTGAAAATAAAAGAGTCTTATGGGAAAAATGAACATGGGATCAAGCTGAATTTTATTATAAAAATAAAGCATATTTTAATCAAGAAATTTCAAGATTAATTTGAGCAAAGTTTATTCGTGATAAGGCTTTATACAAAAATCAACAAAATTAAATAATTATTATATTCTTGATCTGCTTTTGATGAAAAACTATTTTAATAGCTCAGCTTTCAATGATGGTTTGCATTATATCACATCGATAATGATGCACATGTGAAAATGATTGGTATTGGTTGATTTTTGTGATAGTAATTTGTTTTGATTTTTGAACAGTATTTACAATTAAATGCTATAACCAGGGCTGTAATTATGTAGGCAATTTTCAAATAAAATGTCAAAACTGAATCACAGATAAAAGTTTCCATAGTTGGTCTGCAAGAAAGTTTTATAGAATATATGCATATTATTTAAATAATAATTCTATTTAATAATAGGTATAACAGGTTTAAAATATAGGTACACAAAATTTGACAGCTTACAAGATAATTACTAAAAAAGAAATTTAATTTATCGCAATGACATGAATAGAGAATTTTTACTATATATATATTTTCTTTAATATGTGGAAAGTAAATACAATTAGTCTTACCTCTTTGGAAAAAAGCCTAGAAAAAACATTTTTGTGATGGATAAAAGAGGTGTATTGTGTGGAATTCAAAAATTTTTCCCAAATTGAAATTAAAATGTAGTATTAGAATTTAAATAAATATAGAATAAAGTATTTTAATCACTGTTGTTTGAATTTAATAATATTACTGAACTTAATCTGTTTTATATTTTTTCAATTATTGTGTAAGACATTTAAAACATTATCGTTTTAATTAAATAAGACGTTTGTTTGGTTTCATTAAAATTTCTACTGCCAGCGGTTGAATGGTAAACCATGCATTGCCATCAAACATTTAAACCTATTTACATGTATTCGCATGATACTTTAAATTATCATTTTTTTTTTAAATTGTTTATTGTTCCTTTCTTTTCATATTAACCATATAACATATGTATACAAGTGATTTCCATAAACTGATTTATTGTAATTTTAATTGATTATATGTATATTTAAATATTTTAAAATATAAGTTAAAAGATTTAAAAAATATTGAAATTTGTACGATTTATTAACTATATAAAATAAGCTGGAATGATGACATATAAGACCACACAACTTTGTTTTTATTCTTTTCTTTTATTTCAGCGTTATCTCGTAAGGCATTAAATTCCATTTACAGTTATTTTCCTATTGGTATTTTAGAATAGGTACCTTTTTGCGTATTTAATTATTCATTTTTTCATCTAATTTATTCAGATGCCTAATTGGGCGCATGTAAATTCCACCGATTGCGACCTTTTAAGGCAGTTTTTCATGTAAATTCCACCGGTACAATTTTTTTATCTGAGAAAAAAATGAAAATTCCACCAATACATTATTATTTTTATTTAGATATTCGGATTTATTCTTTTACATTTGTAATAAATTAATTAGTATTACAACATAGGTATGATACAAAACTATTAAACACACAAAAACAATAGTAAGCAATAATAATAAGTTACAAATGTTATAATAGATAATAGGTACATAAATTATGTACAGATTTCTTATTTTTACATAGGTAATGTATTTAAAATTTAAATACTTATATCTTTTTTTCAAATATATTTTAAAAAAAATTGTAATAATTAATAATTATATTACTAGTTAGTTGTTACTTATTTTACCATCGGTAGAGTTAACATGTTTTCCAGTCAAAAATATGTACCGGTGGAATTTACATGTTTTAAATTTAATCCAAAAATTGACTTCTTATAAATTGGTGGAATTTACAATCACCCGTCTAATTCAATATCATAATACCAACAGTGGCGAAACTAGAAAATATTTTTGGGAGGGATTTTAAATATTCAATTCCCTCCTACATAAGTACCAATTTTTTAATTTTAGTATCGATTAAACATAAGTTAAAATATATAATGTGTTATAATTTAGTTATAAAAATCATTTTATAACTATCATTTTAAATAAATTAAATTATGCCTTAAAATTATTACGTGATTCACAAAATAATAGACATTTTGACGAGGGGGGACACGTGAACCCCAACTAAAAGCTATACACCACTAAATACCAATATATTATATGATGTATATTAGTTTTAAACATGATATTAATATCAACACTATTATTCATAAAGTTAAGTAATTATATTTTGATTTAAGTTATTAAAGATAGCTACTAACATAATATGTACACAGTACTTCAACAACATTATTTCACATGAATGTACTATTTACATTAAACTAACCTTTAATCATGTTTATATATTTCAGATATTTACATTGTAATATTTAAAACCTTAAGCAAACTAAATATTTTTAAGTTTACTGTAATTTTATTTTATAATTTATTAAATTGTTATTTAAAATAAAATACAAAAATACCAACACGCTCATGTACTTGATCATGGATCAATAAAAATATGTCTTTATTCTATACATTGTGTTCTTGTCTCTGTTCAAACAAAAAATAAAGTAATCCCAAATAAATATTTTTCTTAAAGAATTTTCGACGAATAACAGCGACGATTCGCCTAATTCGGTCGCTATTGGAATTCCATATCCGTTTATATTATGTCTCACTGAAAAAATAATATATTATTATATAAAATAAATATATATTTAGTATTAAATAATATAAAGTTTTAAACCAAGTGATTGAATTGTATTTATTAATAATAATACTATATCATAATTCATTATATCCACATAATTATTACTATTACTTGTTTTTTGTTTCATGTTAAGTGAGTCATATGGTAAAAATGTCTTAATGTATTTCAATCAAAATACTCCGTCGTCATTATCAACAACATGAATAACGAACATTTAAGTAGGTATGCGTATAATTTAGGTAGCCACTTATTAACAAAGATAAAGAACAATAAACAAATTTGTTGCAGACAAATTTAATCACAAATATTTTTGTAAAGGTCTTAATTTTGTGAGAAATAATTATTTTAAATACAATACCTTTAGGGTTTAATATACTTTGGGTGTATATTACTGTTGTTTAATGATAAATTATATCATTTATATAAGTAATTAAAATAAAATACGATGACTTTTCTGAAAGTGCCAAAAAGTAATATAACATTTCAGGCGAATTGTTATGAGAAAAGTATTCCACACGTGAGTCATGACGACTAATAGCTTGTGAGTTTGAATGAGATAACTGTCAATCTGTACTCTATAGTCATCTAGTGTGTTTCATAGTCTCTTTGAAGAAGTAACTAAATAGGTTTGGTTTATTTGTATGTACTGGATGCTTTAGTGAAATTATTTGGTTGGAGGTGCGTTTATGCTATTTTTTTTACAATTAGAATTTTATTATTATTAAAATATTATGTTGGTGTGAATTCTTCGTTATCGTAAAACTTTGTACATATATTATTTACCTAATCTGTAATGATATTTCTAATAATCTAATATAAATGTTTAATGAGAACATTTACTTAACATTTTAAACATAATGTAGTTGAAATAATCCAAATTATTATGATTAAAGGTCACTTTAATGTAAATGGTACATTCGTGTGAATGTGAATTTGTTTCGCAAATATATAAAATCTATTGGTATGTACGCAACTGAGATTCAACTCAATATAATATTTTATGAAGTATTGATATCATGACATTGAATTATGCATCTGAACTAATCAAATATCAATGGAGTAAATATATATTTTACATCACTTTCAATAAGTAATCAT